ATCTTGCTCTTTGGGAAACGTGGTATGGACCTTTTTTGTACACCTTACCCCACTAAGTTGACTGAAAGCCTAGACAAGCTGTGGTCACCACAGTGAACACCCTTGGACCAGGGATGGACTTTGGTCTTTCAAATTTCAGTGGTACCCTGTGTGAAGCCAAAATTTGGCACCTCCTGCCTCTCGCCTTCCATTCTGATAAATTCACCACACCATAGTTCTGACAACCTGCCGCACTCACTAGGCATGGCACTCAATGTGGTAGAACTGGTTGCACCATCTGAAACCTGCTTCTGCTTGGAGGACTCCATGGACCCAAATAAACACTCTTGTTGTTAAGTACCCACTACGAGAGGCTGCAACTGGAGGAAGAAGCCCACCAGCCATACATAAGGCAAGACCAGGCCTACCCCAACTTTGTGGGCATTATCAAACCTGCATTTCTAGACCATAGCTGTCAACGTTTCCCTTTTTAAAAGGGAAATTCCCTTATTCTGAATAGGATTCCTCGCAAGAAAAGGGAAAAGTTGATAGCTATGCTCTAGACCTGTCACTCCTCCACTCTGGAAAAGACTTGTGTACCATGCTGCATACTAGTAATTAACTGCAACCCAGCTGCATTTCCCAGTAATGATGTAAACTGCTTCACTGTTTATATCTTAGCTTATAACTTCAGAAATTTTTCTGTTATATTGTAGCCACAATAATCTTCTCATGCAAGCCAAATATCTCTACTCATGTAGAAACCTGTAGAAATGTGCCTCTTATCCTACCTCATTTACATGGGAGGGTCCTCTATAGATAAACAGATCAACCCTCTTCCAAATAGCCATGCTAACTAGATACAAGATCAAAAAGCTGAGAGGAAGATTATATCTGTAGTTTAATTAGGAACTATCAAAGTATTCAAATGTCCATAATCAATTACATATTCATAGAGCAAACAAACCAGAAAAATCCATGTTAGATAGTTAGATACATTTTTTCTAGTCAACTTTCATAATAATGCAATGTATTTAAAAAGTTACAGAGCTTGTTACTATAATTTTTTAATCACCATATATTTTACACACTTCTATTGGAGCTTTAATTATTGTACAAAATAATTTTATTATTTGTTTGTAAAGATGAAGATTTTGAGTCACATCAGTTGTTTTTCATTGAGAATGTCAAATGTATATTATTATAAGGAATTAATCAAGTTCAAGGACAAAGATGTGTATGTATAGAAACATTTTATGATTATATTATTGTTAATAGGTATGTTATTAAACTAATTGTATTATTTAGTAATAGATTTTTCTGCAAAGTTTCTAAGGTACTACCATCTGACTTTTCGCTTAAAGTCCTCATATCACAGATAGACAAATTAGAATTAATCCTATACTGCATAAAACAATAGAACCTATTTCATAAGGATATGGAGAAGATCTTCACAATTCACTTATAATTGTTGTTGAAATAAATGATGAGATAGTAATTAAGCAAATGGAACAACAAGTTATCCTTAAGGTACAACATGATAGCAAAGAAATTGCAAAAATCGGAGCCAAGATTAAGGGCATTGACACACTTAAGTAGTGGGCTACCCTGCTTGGATGGAGTGAAAATACATCTGTAGTTCTTACTACAATAGCACTGCCTAAAATGATCTCGGCATAGCCGCAAGTAGCAATAGAAATAGTATATTAGCTGTATAAAATCAAGCAATGTGATCCTAAATACCACATGACCTAAGCACCATCCATACAAGATTAAAACAACATTTCTTGATGAACATATCTGAGGTAGGAGTTTCACAACCAGGGTGCCAGCACAGAAAAGGTCTATCTCTAGTAGTAATCCATTTCACTACTGAAGGTGGAGCCACCTGGAGTGGAGCATGCTATGAAGACCTTAACAATCGAGCAAGTTCATACTGAAGCAGGTACTCTTTAAGATATCCCATTTTAATTGTATCCATAAAAACACTGGCAGCACTTGTGAGAAGTAAATTGTTCTATCCACCCAGTTAATAGTTTAGCTGCTGTACTTGGCAGCACTTGAAATTTCTGATCAGTCTTCATCAGCAGCTGATATATAATGCATTGCAATACTTTAACCTTGATGTTATCAAAACATGGATAATTATGATATGATCATGTTTTTCCAGAAGGGACTGCAGCTGGCTCATCAGTTCATGCTGGTAGAAGGCACTTTTTGACCAGATCATGCCACTTAGCTTGGGCATCCGTCTGCAATGCATTCCCCAAGCTGCAGACTTCCATTAGTGGGGATGCACCCACATTAACAAGCAGAAAGTTTCTACTAGGAACCCAGTAACCTGAGCAACTGAACTGCCTTTCAACATTTTGTTTCAACTGGGCTTAAGCTTATTAGGCCAGTTCATTACTTACTTGTGGTTCTGGACTTAGATCAACTGTTTCAGTTTCCCAAAGACAAATCCAATTTTCTGATACAGTGGTACCTCATGTTACGAACTTAATTCATTCCGGAGGTCCGTTCTTAATCTGAAATCGTTCTAAACCCGAGGTGCGCCTTTGCTAATGGGGACTCCCTCTGCTGCCATGCTGCTGGCATGTGATTTCCATTCTCATCCTGGGGCAAAGTTCTCAACCCGAGGTACTACTTCCAGGTTTGCGGAGTTTGTAACCCGAAGTGTTTGTAACCCGAAGCGTTTGTAACACGAGGTACCACTGCATTTGTTCCTTGTAAATCAGTATCCATAGTTTTTACTTTTTTGGAATCTCCAGGTAGGACTGGGAAAGATTCTGGTCTGAAATGCCAGAGAATCACTGCCAGTCACTGTATACAGTACTGAACTAGAGGGACTAAGGCAGGGGTCAGCAAACTTTTTCTTTTCTTTTTTCTTTTTTGAATATTTTTTTTTGAATGGTTTTATGTTACAAAAAACAATACAGCCATACTACCACTAAAGGATGTGAGGGCGATCTGGCTGCGACATCTGTCACCCCATTGATCGCCAGGGTTGATTCAGCTGATCTGGCTGTCTAGGCGGGTGTCCCCTCCCTCGCTCACCGCTCCATGTGCGTCCCTCCCGAAGCTGCATGCTCGGTGGAAGAGGACGACCATCCCAGATAGAAGGAGTGTACCGTTCTTCGGTCAAGGGTATGCGATAGCTGTGCTCCCCTGCTAGAACCTCCAAACAAGCTCAAGGGGTCAGCAAACTTTTTCAGCAGGGGGCCGGTCCACTGTCCCTCAGACCTTGTGGTGGGCCAGACTATATTTTGACGAAAAAAAATGAACGAATTCCTATGCCCCACAAATAACCCAGAGATGCATTTTAAATAAAAGCACACATTCTACTCATGTAAAAACACCAGGCAGGCCCCACAAATAACCCAGAGATGCATTTTAAATAAAAGGACACATTCTACGCATGTAAAAACATGCTGATTCCCGGACCGTCCGCTGGCCGGATTGAGAAGGCGATTGGGCTGGATCTGGCCCCTGGGCTTTAGTTTGCCTGCCCATGGACTAAGGTGTGACTTGGTATAAGGCAGTTTCCTGAGTTCCATCCCAAGCCTATGTACACTTGCAGATACTCCCAGGCATGCATGCATAAAAGTCCCATTGAATAAACTGGGACACACAACTGAGCAGAAATGCATTGGGTTGGACTGAGGTTGGACTGAATGGACATTTTTGATTGGCTACTGACACCAGTCTCTCCACTGTGAGACTGAAGTTTGTACTAACCATTCTACAGAGCAATTATTTTGTCTGATTTTACTTTTATTTGGGGTCTATAGGGTGTAACGGGAGAGGTAGTATCTCTAGTGGGGGACACACCACGCTCCCCCTGAGCTAGTTTGTCCACATTTGGTCTCCCCACCCTACACTCAGTCCTCACCTGCGGCTCCTAGAAGCTATCAGCATGCGACAGTGGCCAAACCCTGGGAAACAGCTTTGACTGTCTGGCTAAACCAGGTGAGGGTAGCTGATGGGTCTCAAACTCCCAGTGAGTTAGGGTCTTCCCCTGCATACGAAAACAGGCTCCAGCAGATTGAGCAGGCAAGACCAATGGTCCAATGGTCAAGAAGGAGGTCTATGTGTTGTAGAGGGAAGTGAGGGGCAGATGGGGCTCATTAACCTGGGAAGGTAGCTCATCTAGGAAAAGGAAAGTTCTGATCTTAAACCTCCACTGCTTTGCAAGATATATTCGGGAGAAGAGAAGACTAAGTAAACCCTACACAAATCTGGAGTAGAATCCCTAAGACAGTTGGGTGACGCCATGTAAGTCTTATTCTAGCAACTCCTGCAGCCAAGTTGGTGTCAAATGTATTGCTCTGATTTCCTTTGGATCATATCAGCAAGGCCAAGAAGGGGGTCTTGTCATCTGAGCATTGCAGCACCTCCATACACACTGTCCAGGCTTGCTCCCCGGGGAAGTCACTTTCGCGCTGCTAATGCAACAGCATGACTTCACCCCCAGAAGCGCACTCCATTGCCTCTCAAGACCGATGGGTGCCGACAACAACTTTTATTTGCATATTTATATACAGCTTCACAAACAAAAGCTACCAGGAGCAGCATACAAGAAGATAAAATACCAAATATTACAGGCCAAGGAAACCAAAAGCAATAAAAGCATTTTTGCAACTATACAGTTAATATTCCAAAAAATGACCATACCACGCCTCAGGGAAAGCCTTCTTAAACATAAGATGCTCTCAATAGCCACCTAAATATCCATACACTTTTTAAAAGAGGAAACAGTGGTGATGAGAGAGAGAACAAGAGAGTGGATGAAAATTGGGGTATTTCTAGTATACAAGAGTGTCCCTGATTTCAACGATGAAATATTGAGTTTGTCCAGGCGTTAGTTAGTGATGCTTTTCTTTTTAATCTAGAATGGCGACCACTCTCCTTAGCCCACTTTCTCTTCCTCAGTCCCATTTTCTCTCCCACAAAGATAGGAAAAAAGGGAACCATGGAAAGCAGAACAATTGAATTTCAATTCAATAATTAATCAAACTTACTTTGCCTTCATGCCGTCGTTTTCCTGAATCCGCTCATTCTGGTGTCAGGGTCAGCCATGGGTCTGTTCCTCGCCTCACAACACAGCGCCCTCAGAGTCCTCTGTGTAAAATCCTGTCACATAATCGCTTCTTCCATCTCTCCTCTGCATTGTTGTCCTCCTCACACGTATGGCCTCTCCCGCTCTCTCTTATGCTTTCTCTGTTTCTCCCTGCCCTTCCCTCACGCTCCCTCCATTTCCCCTACATTTGTGCAAACAGCTACTTCATAGACGAAGAGGAAGTCTGAGGTAAAATGAGAAACAAACGGCAAAGTGGTCTTCACTGTCATTCCCCCCCCCCCATACATGCGTTGTGTATAAATAGTACAGCTGATGGCTTTTGACAGTTGAGGTGTGTATGTTTTTAGGAATCACTTTTTCTTACGATTGTAGGCTGTTTAAAATATGGTTTTAATACAGTGTTTTAATGCTGCAACCTTGCCCTGGAACCTTAGGGCAAAGGGCAGCTAACAAATGAACCAATGAAGGAACAAAATATCTATATCTACCGGTATATCTATATCTATATCTATATCTATATCTATTTCGTAGATTTTCACGGGTACAGGAATGCAGGTTTTGGTGTCCTCGGGTGTCTTCCCGTGTAAAAGTTGGGGTGTCTAGGCGACGTTTCGACGAGGTCTCACTCGTCATCTTCAGGCTGGTGCTTTCGGCTTCTTGTTACTGGAACAGAGCAGGATCTCAGTGTTTGGGTTCCTATAAATACTGTTGAGGAGGTGTGGTGTATAGCCTCCAATGTTCTGGGCAGAGAGGAAGTTCCCAGGCTAGTGTGCCTTTTCTTCTTTTGTTCCTTAATTACTTGAGGGATATCTTGAGTGATTTCTTGAGTGATATCCTGAGTACCACTTAGGTGGGTCATTAGGTGTGGATTAGTTGCTAAAGCCTTCGTGTCTTGACCTCTTGAACTTTGTGAAGAGTTTTTCTGAGAAGATGGCTGTACTGCACTTAGTTGTGCTCTGGCTTGGCTTCGTGTATAGGGGCGAGCTGTGGTTTTGTGGCCTGTGCCAGCCAGATCTGTGTAGGGATTGCAGGGGGGTGCAGCATCCGGAGGTGCCACCATGGTTTGGCTACTGGATGGTGTCTGTAATTTATCTGTGGAGAGGGTCTGGGTTTGGGTCTGGTGTGGTTGATTGGTGATGGCGTTCTGTGTGCCTCTGGATCTGGTGTCGGTTTTTGTGGGGAGGGCTAATTTCCAGATGTCTGGCAGGCGGGATGTGTCGTCACGCTTGTTCATGTTGTGAGGGTGTTTCTCTATCTCGATGGCTTCCATGATTATTCTCTTGTGGTGATGTTCCATGTTAAAGAGCAATTTGGAATCTGCAAAATTAATTTCGTGTCCTGTTTCTTTCATGTGTTGGAAAAGAGAGGAAGTTTTTTCTTCTTTTTTGACGGCATTCTTGTGTTCTGCGATACGTGCATTTATTCGTCTGTTTGTTTGTCCAATGTACGTGGCTGGGCAGACTTTGCAGGGTATTTCATAGACCCCTTGGTTTTCCAACTGGATTTTATCCTTGGGGTTTCTGAGGATATTGGCTATTTTTTGGTTGGTGCAAAAGGCTGTTTTGATATTGTGTTTATGGAGGATTTTGCTGATTTTATCTGTAGTGCCCTTGATATAAGGAAGGAGGGCCATGCCATTGTTTTCTTCTGTGTCTTGGTTTTTGGGGGGTGTTTCTTTTTGGATTAGCTTCGTAACCCTGTTTTGCTGGTATCCATTGGCGATTAACACATTTGAGAGATTCTGTAACTCAGTTGTCAAGTGGTCTTTGTCAGCCAGGCGTTTGGTTCTGGAGATGAGAGTCTTGGCTACGGAGTTTATTTGTGCAGGGTGGTGGTGTGATTGTGCATGTAAGTAGCGGTTGGTGTGTGTTTTTTTCCGGTAGATAGTGTGTCCTAGGGAGCCATCAGGTTTTTTGTAGATTAGGACGTCAAGGAAGGGAAGTTGGTTGTTGGCTTCTATTTCCATAGTGAATTGTATTTTGGGGTGTAGGCTGTTGAGATGTGTGAGGAAGCTATCTAGTTTTTCCTTCCCGTGTGGCCAAATTACAAAGGTGTCGTCAACATATCTGAGCCAAAGTTTGGGTTTGTGTTCTGACTTGTCTAAAGCATTGGTTTCAAAGTGTTCCATGTACAGGTTTGCGATGACCGGTGAGAGGGGTGATCCCATAGGTGCTCCTTCTATCTGTTTGTATCTTTGTCCATTGTGGATGAAGTACCAACTTAAATTCCACTCTAAAACCCCAGCTACCGAAAGGATCCTGAAACGAACTGAACTATCCCTAATCAGAAACGAACTACATAAGAAAAGATACCTACTAAACCAAACCAACAAAGATCTGCTCTCTCTTCACCTCAAACTCTGTAACAAAATCCACCCTGCACTCTGGGACAAATGCAAACAACTAGCCGTCTGGAGAGCTGAAACTGAGACCTCACATAAGACAGACACACACACCAACAAACTCCACAAACTAGAGAAACGCCAGAAGCCCAGCCACCCTCCACAACAACCCATGAAACAAACAGTACATAACATATCAGACAGGATCCTCACCTCAACTGAAACCAAAGTACTCTCCAAAGGTTTCAACTTTGCAGTCGCCCCGAGACGCATCCCCACGGAAAACATCATATGCGGAGTCGAAGCTAGCCTAACCAAAATCAACCCAGATGAAGCCAATAAAATCAGACTTGAAGTCACCAACATCCTCTGCTCCAGCAAACCACCCAGAAGCAATTTACACAAAGAAGAACAGAAAGCACTCACCAACCTGAGGAAAGACAACAACATAATCATTCTCCCAGCAGACAAAGGTAATGCCACTGTTGTGATGAACACATCGGACTACCAAGCAAAACTATCAAATCTACTCCAAGACCCTACCTACCAACCTATAAAAACAGATCCCACCACCTATCTGGAAAAAACCACCAAATCCAAAATAAAAGCCTCTCCTATCAGTGAAGAAATCCAGCTAAGAATCATCCCCAGAGAAAAATCATCCAGATGCCCCAAACTCTACGGCCTCCCCAAGATACACAAAGAAGGAACACCACTCAGACCAATAGTCAGCTCCATAGGCTCACCTCTACAAAATCTCGCTAAATTTCTCGCTAAGCAACTTCAGCCCTATGCAGAATCCATCTCTTCACACGTTACAAACTCCTTCCAGTTCATAGAAACAATAAAGAAGCAAAACCTACATCCCAATGACCTACTTGTGAGCTTCGATGTTGTATCTCTCTTCACACAAGTGCCCATTAATGAAGCCTTGACAGCCATTCAAAACAAATACAATCCCCCCGAATACATCCTGGACCTGACCAACCACTGCCTAACCAACACGTACTTCATCCACAATGGACAAAGATACAAACAGATAGAAGGAGCACCTATGGGATCACCCCTCTCACCGGTCATCGCAAACCTGTACATGGAACACTTTGAAACCAATGCTTTAGACAAGTCAGAACACAAACCCAAACTTTGGCTCAGATATGTTGACGACACCTTTGTAATTTGGCCACACGGGAAGGAAAAACTAGATAGCTTCCTCACACATCTCAACAGCCTACACCCCAAAATACAATTCACTATGGAAATAGAAGCCAACAACCAACTTCCCTTCCTTGACGTCCTAATCTACAAAAAACCTGATGGCTCCCTAGGACACACTATCTACCGGAAAAAAACACACACCAACCGCTACTTACATGCACAATCACACCACCACCCTGCACAAATAAACTCCGTAGCCAAGACTCTCATCTCCAGAACCAAACGCCTGGCTGACAAAGACCACTTGACAACTGAGTTACAGAATCTCTCAAATGTGTTAATCGCCAATGGATACCAGCAAAACAGGGTTACGAAGCTAATCCAAAAAGAAACACCCCCCAAAAACCAAGACACAGAAGAAAACAATGGCATGGCCCTCCTTCCTTATATCAAGGGCACTACAGATAAAATCAGCAAAATCCTCCATAAACACAATATCAAAACAGCCTTTTGCACCAACCAAAAAATAGCCAATATCCTCAGAAACCCCAAGGATAAAATCCAGTTGGAAAACCAAGGGGTCTATGAAATACCCTGCAAAGTCTGCCCAGCCACGTACATTGGACAAACAAACAGACGAATAAATGCACGTATCGCAGAACACAAGAATGCCGTCAAAAAAGAAGAAAAAACTTCCTCTCTTTTCCAACACATGAAAGAAACAGGACACGAAATTAATTTTGCAGATTCCAAATTGCTCTTTAACATGGAACATCACCACAAGAGAATAATCATGGAAGCCATCGAGATAGAGAAACACCCTCACAACATGAACAAGCGTGACGACACATCCCGCCTGCCAGACATCTGGAAATTAGCCCTCCCCACAAAAACCGACACCAGATCCAGAGGCACACAGAACGCCATCACCAATCAACCACACCAGACCCAAACCCAGACCCTCTCCACAGATAAATTACAGACACCATCCAGTAGCCAAACCATGGTGGCACCTCCGGATGCTGCACCCCCCTGCAATCCCTACACAGATCTGGCTGGCACAGGCCACAAAACCACAGCTCGCCCCTATACACGAAGCCAAGCCAGAGCACAACTAAGTGCAGTACAGCCATCTTCTCAGAAAAACTCTTCACAAAGTTCAAGAGGTCAAGACACGAAGGCTTTAGCAACTAATCCACACCTAATGACCCACCTAAGTGGTACTCAGGATATCACTCAAGAAATCACTCCAGATATCCCTCCAGTAATTAAGGAACAAAAGAAGAAAAGGCACACTAGCCTGGGAACTTCCTCTCTGCCCAGAACATTGGAGGCTATACACCACACCCCCTCAACAGTATTTATAGGAACTCAAACACTGAGATCCTGCTCTGTTCCAGTAACAAGAAGCCGAAAGCACCAGCCTGAAGATGACGAGTGAGACCTCGTCGAAACGTCGCCTAGACACCCCAACTTTTACACGGGAAGACACCCGAGGACACCAAAACCTGCATCTATATCTATATCTATATCTATATCTACCGGTATATCTATATCTATATCTGAGGGGGACATTTATCAGTAACACCCATGTAAGGCCCTTCTCATGGGAACATACACAGCTTTTTCTATGCAGCTGTAGGAGTCTAGAATGTTCAGCCCAGGCTACCTGGGGAAATTGCCATGGCAACCAACTGCCACAGGTGGTTGGCAGTTAGGTAGCATTAAGGCCCAGGGAAGTCAAATGGACAATTCTCTCTCTCTCTCTCTCTCTCTCTCTCTCTCTCTCTCTCTCTCACACACACACACACACACACACACACACAAACACACCTGCTCTATCTCCCTGAACTAACAGGAGAATTCCTGCCACATATTTTCTTTTTCCTCATTGTCCAGTGTAGCCTTCCAAATTCTGTATGGGACAAGGGTTTCAACACTTGATTGGTGAGATTAAATAACTGCAAAACCATGTATGAAAAGGCGACTCCATTTGATCCAGTTTTTTTTTTTAAAGTGTAGATGCACTTTGTAAAAAAAAGTTCTGCACTTGAAGTATGCTACTGCTGCTGCTTTTTTACAAGGAAATGCTGCTGCAGTCATTAGGTATACTTTTTATAGTTGCACCTGCGATTAATAGATAATGTTATTTCACTTGCATATGGTACTTGCAGGAGTTGAGCTGTAGAGTTTATTGCTGGGATGACATTGTGAATAACTGGACACGCCTATTATGTTATTGTTTATTATTATGAATTGAATTCACACAACTGTTTTTCTTGCTGATGTTGTTCTTCATGTGCATTGTGTTGTTTATTATGTTACTATGTTATAAGCTGCCCTGTGTCCTTTTGACAAATGGTGGTATATGCAATTTTTAAAGTAATAAAATTAATAAAAATCAATACAAAAAAATCTCTTGATAACCAGCGCTGTCTTAGAAGAGGTTTATAACGTCGCTCTACCTGCTAGTAACTCACCACTTCTTCCTTGCGTTGACAAGCTGATTTCTTTCTTGTACCTTTTCTCCGTATTTCCTTTTCCTTGTTGCTCTTATTCTTTTCTGTTTTCAGTCTGAGAGGAGGAGATATGAGTTGAGTTCATTTTTGGAAAATAAAATAATACCCTGCCCTTTAGTCAAAAGGCTCTCTGACAGCGGCTTACAAACATAAGTTCTAGGACAGTCACATCTTGTAATCTAAAAAACACACAACACACAAGGAAAATGGAATGGGAGGGAGGAGGAAAAAGCAAGCTCAAGCACAAGTTCTTCAAGTTACAGTTAAAGTTACAACCAATGTAAGTGGTGGTTCTGGCTATCTTGTCCCAGATAAAGGGCAGTCCCTCCTCTGAAGCACTCTTTCTTCCAGATGGGATGCAGGAACACAGCTGGTAACAACACCCAGGCCAGAAGAACACAGCAGCTCTTGCCCGACAACTCTTCTGTCAAACATATGATATGAGTCATTTTGGGATACATGATTTATCTGAAAAAAGGGACACGGGTGGCGCTGTGGGTTAAACCACAGAACCTAGGGCTTGCTGATCAGAAGGTCGGCGGTTCGAATCCCTGCGACGGGGTGAGCTCCCGTTGCTCGGTCCCTGCTCCTGCCAACCTAGCAGTTTGAAAGCACGTCAAAGTGCAAGTAGATAAATAGGTACTGCTCCAGCGGGAAGGTAAATGGCGTTTCCGTGCGCTGCTCTGGTTCGCCAGAAACGGCTTAGTCATGCTGGCCACATGACCCGGAAGCTATATGCCGGCTCCCTCGGCCAATAAAGTGAGATGAGTGCCGCAACCCCAGAGTCGGCCACGACTGGACCTAATGGTCAGGGGTCCCTTTACCTTTATTCATCTGAAAAGCATAATAATAATAAAACTATTGGAACTATTGTTTTTATTTAGATAGACGTGTGATCAATTAACAAATTGTGTCTCCGGGGCAGCTTCTCCTGTTAATCAGAACACATCTGTTCTGCTTTGACCATTTTCCTATTTTATCATAACTCACTCCTTTTACGTCACTTTATGATAACATATTTCAAAAAGTCAGCTCTAAATGCTGTCTAAAAACCTTTGATGTAGCTAGGTGCCAGAACTGGAAAGGCCCCACTGCATAGAGATACGTACTGGACTTCAATTTGGGAAAATATGAAATGGAGCCTCAGATTTCTGAATGAAGTGCTCAGGGACCACCAGAGGGGGAAATAAAGCACTTGGCAGAAGCTTATTAGGATAACGAATTGTGCTTCAGCCTGTTTGATTTTATTATAATTTTGTTGTTGACAATCTTTGAATTGTATTTTGATTTATTATACTGTGATACTGATCTTTGGGTTCTTTGAAAGACAGAAAAGAAGGACATCATCATCATCTTTTCAGCTGTTAAAGGCCTTCTCCTCCATCTTCATCTTTTCCTGCTCCCTCTGTGTCTTTGGTAAGTGCCCTGACAGCAAAGGTCCCTTGTCAGAAACAAGCCAATTGAAGAGGGAACAGAGCCACCTTCAGAAAGCAGACTTGTGCATCTCAAAGCCTGCTGCTTTTCCTTTCTTGGCCTCCAGCAATTGTAAAAACCCTGTAAATTAGGAGACTTTGTGCCTGTTGGCCAAGGGTAGCCTCCTGGCTTGTTTTCCTTTGTAAACAAACAAACAAACTGGCTTGACCTTTTGCATACCCTGAAAAGTTTTTAAAGTTTAATTAGCTCCACACTAGATATTTAGATATTTTAAATGGGCATAAATTTGCATGCATTAACAAATGAGCAACAACTGTATGAATGAATAAAATGACTGAATGAATTTTCAGTGTCAGACAAAATGTGTTATGCAGCACTGTATTCAAAGGATTCAATTCACCTGAATGGGCTGGATAGAGTCTACTGGCGGGCAGTCTGAAATTCTGATGTAGCCTGTATAGTTGTAATGAGGAAGCATGAACTTTGCCTCTTCACTAAAATAATGAGTATATTCTTGGTGGTGGAGGGTGGGGCACAACTGCATATGCACTTAAGAGCCATGACATTGCTAGATAGGGCAGAGCCAAGGTTGGTTGGCAGAGATTATACCAGTAGTTGCATCATATCGGCACCAATAGAATCACTATAAATGATATCATTCAAAAACAAGCAAGGTAAAAGGAACTTTAACCAAAGTTTGGAAATTTCAGCTTCTGTTGAGAGGTTAGCAAGAGTGTACAGTGGTACCTTGGGTTACAGATGCTTCAGGTTACAGACTCTGCTAACCCAGAAATAGTACCTTGGGTTAAGAACTTTGCTTCAGGATGAGAACAGAAATTGTGCTCTGGTGGCGAGGCAGCAGCGGGAGGCCCCCTTAGCTAAAGTGGTACCTCAGGTTAAGAACAGTTTCAGGTTAAGAACGGACCTCCAGAACGAATTAAGTTCTTAACCCGAGGTACCACAGTATACAGTTAGCAGCTAGCTATCTGGATGTGGAAAAGTCAGCTCCCGTTCCCATTTGACCATGAAACTAACCACATCATGGAATGGCTTTGAGAATAAGAAACAAGAACAGCAAAGTATTTGCACACTGTGAGATATGCTATGTACAGAGCAAAGAATAATAATGTAAGTGACCAAAATTTCAGAAATAAGGAAAACAAGAAGCATGCAACATTTCTTGTTTTAAAAATTGAGCCATATTTATTTATAAACTTCATTTGAGTCTGTGAGACTTAGGATGACAGTACTGCACCCTGATGACTTTAAATACATATCCATACAGGGGGCCAGTCTTTGTGTGTGTGTGTTTTTAATCAGTTCTGGTAGGTGCTGACTTCCCATGACCCACATGGAAGTCTGTCTCTCAGGTAATAGTAATATTTTAGGTTTGAGCCTTCCCTACAGATGTGCACAGCACTCCTTTATGTATGATGGGAGGGGTAAGAAGGGAGGTCATTGGCTGGAAACTCCCATTCACAGAACAGCACACACGCACACACGCACACACGCACGCACACACACACACACACACACACACAGAGCATGCGAGTGAGAGCGCTTTTTTGTGATAGTCTCCATCACCTTTTTTGTGCTCGCACCTTTTATCAATATATGACTCCTCATTTTTAACTATAAAAAAATCAATCTTCAAAAAGTTCCAATCACTTCACATTTATTATGCAGGGACACTGTCTTTTTTTCCTGGATTCTGGGGTCCTAAGCTGTAATCAGATGCATAATAGGCAGAAATACAATAGATTGAAAGACTGAAGGTTGGGAAAACCTTTCCCAGTCTGAAGTGCCTTTCACTGTTGATATGCTGCTGGTCAGACAGCAAAAGTGCTCTGTTGAAGGTGACAACCCTATCCAAAGGATGAGAGCATTGCACTGTATCCTACATGCTACAGGAGCATGTCAGGGGCAGGCCATAGCCAGAAATGTGCTGAAGACCAACAAGTGGTGCGGGGCAAATGAATGCAGAGCATCCAAAAGAACCCGAATACAGGTAGATCCATTTGTTCACATTTGATTTATTAATTATTAATAAAAAGTAACTTTCATTTTGTATATATATATTTATAAAATATAAAAATAAGAGCCTAGTTCCTATCAGTTATCCTAGTGCTCTGCAAGATGTTGTCAGAACTCTGGAAGGCAGGAAGCAAGCAGACTAGGGAGCAAGCAATTGGGTCAAATATTATTCCAAGCTTCTATCTATCTATCTATCTATCTATCTATCTATCTATCTATCTATCTAATTTGCAGAAGCCACAGGACAGTTTCTAACAGGGACACTGTTGTTTTTTTTAAAAAACTCACAAAATAACCCAATCCTTAAAAACACATAAACAAATCACTAAACATAGTTATTAATGGCAGTGGTGGCAGCAATAAGGTCCCTTCTCCCCCTACACCTGCTGGAAAAGATTACCGTAATCTTAACTAGCTGACTAAAGCTATAAAGAGACAGGGCCAAATGCATCATAATTCCACATATTCCATTTATATTATGTCCTTCTTTCAAGGAGCTCAGGGCAACACACATAGTTCTTCCTTTACCCCTCATTTTATCCTCTAACAGCTCTGGCTCAGCCCAGCCCAGTAAACTTTGTTGATGAATTAGATCAGGGGTCAGCAACCTTTTTCAGCCGTGGGCCGGTCCACCGTCCCTCAGACCATGTGGTGGGCCAGACTATATCTTGAAAAAAACAAACAAAAACAAATTCCTATGCCCCACAAATAACCCAAAGATGCATTTTAAATAAAAGGACACATTCTACTCATGTAAAAACATGCTGATTCGCTGGCTGTCCGCGGACCAGACTGAGAAGGCGATTGGGCCGCATCTGGCCCCCGGGCCTTAGGTTGCCTACCCCTGAATTAAATTGAACCCAAGTCACACTTGGCCAGTGTTTTAACCCATGCATTATTGCCCTTCAGGTTTTATGGGAGTTCCATTAGCTCCAGCCAGCATGGCCAATGGTTAGGGATTGTAATCCAACAGCCTAGTCTAGAGGGATGTAAGTTGGCATTTCCTTTCTAACCAATATACCATACTGGCTCTTTTAGCTTTCCCTTATATCTCTTTTACTTGTGAAGTTAGAAACTTACTTTTTATGTTTAATGGAAGATGGAACATTCAGGAATATTCCCTCCTCCTTCCCCGAGGCTACAGCCTTGTTCAAATGATCAGTTATAATTCATAGTAAAAACGCTTTCTCACTTGGAAGCTACTGCCAGATGACAAGGATGAGGGTCATCTGAAACCCCTCCCAACTGAAGTGTGTGTAAATATAATGCAGGATTTATGGGTCTACAATGGCACCCACGGCTTTGATCTATCTCTGTCTATAATTCATTCGCACCAGTTTCTACATTTATAAAAAAAAGTTCTTGGCAATAATATTTCATCTGTCGATTTCATAAAGGTACAGTAGTAGCCATGATTAAATGCAGTCCTGTAGCTGCTGTCTCATCAGAGCCACACTCAGCGGAACTTACTATTTCCGTGCTCTGCACTGTGATGTTGGTAGCCTAAAATCAAATTAATTTCTTTTCCTCCCCTGCTCACATTTCAAGGCAAAGTCATGTCTGAGGTAGCCTTCACTATCATCCCTAGATCTTTACAAGCAGTACTGCATCTCCATGTTTATTATTAGCATTATCACAGATTGAAAATGTGGTTTTAGATTATTATTTTCATGTTATCCCCCCACTCCCCCTAACCAGAATCTAATTTTCATCCCATCTCTTCATATTCTCAGTCTCTTTGAAGTATATTAACATTTCCCCCCTCTAGTATCAGTGATGCCTGGAATTTTCCCCCATTTGGTATTGTCTGTTTCATTAACAGTAATTATTTACTTCCTCCTTGGCTGAATAAACAGGAATAAGCAAGAAGAGAGGTCCAGGTCTCACGCGCAACACTGCCCAGTGTGGTACCCTGGGCAAAGAAAATGGGGCAGATACATCTGCTGCCAGCTTAGAGGTGATGAACACATTTTTGAAGAGGTTCCCCCTTTGAACAGAGAAACTGAACTGCGTGGGATTTGTCTCTTTTCCAAAACTATGATTCTGTGATTGTCTCTTACAATCACTATAAAACAATTTATTGATATCATATATAGGCTGCCTTTTTGGGCATAGCCCACCCAAGGAGGTATATAATGTCTCAACACACACACACATACACACACACACGAAAAAAAAATGGCAGCAGCATTCACAATAATTTAAAACAGAAGTCAGTTAAAACAATTATTTTTATTTTTTAAAAAGCAGACATGAATATAAATCACAGCACAGCTAACTTCCTAACAGAATAGCTCAGTTAGGGGGTGGGGGTGGGGCAGAACCTGAATTACTTAAGTATTTTTATTGATTTACATGGGAGGGCAGCCATGGCCCATGGCCCAGTTTAGGAGAAAATGAGTCTGGAAAAGGTGGGTTTTCAGGCCCATTAAAAAACCCTTTGGGTGTTACGGACTACAATTTCTATCAACCCCGGCCTGCTCAACTATGTGGGCAGGAGCTGTTGGTAGTTGTAGCCCAAAACATCTGAAGGACACCTCTGTGAGGAGTGAGTTCCACAGTCTGGAATTTCCACATAAAACGCCCTGTCTCCTGCGCCCACCAGCTGTATTTACCTAATCACTGGGCATGCATGTGGGCTTTTGATGTATACCTTAATACCCAACTCAGGCTCCTATGCATGTCGGCAGTCCTTCAAACCGCAGTTTAAATGCCCTGTGCTCTCTTCAGATGGCTCACAGTGGCTGTGGAAATGAGAGGTACATATTGCGTCCCTTTCCAAACACTCCACCCTTCTCTTTGGCTCCTTGGGTCCTTTTAACAGTGCTGCACTCCTTCTTGTAAGTACCCCTTCCCCAACTTCATCCTTACTGATATTAGGAGGATCTGACCTTGCTCCCAGGTCAGGCCCTTCCCCCTGTTCATCCATGGGATGCTATTTTCAGGCAGCAATGGCTAGAAAATGCCCCTCAGCTGCAAAAGTAGTTTATCTGGAAGTAGGGAGTGTGGCGTTTGTCCGTTTGTTTGAAAATGTCTGTACAGGGGAGAGAGAAAGAGTTAAAATGTAGACCAATAGGAAAGCTGGAGCCTACCTGTTTATAAAAGGGCTTAGCCCGAGGTTTGGGTGTGGGTAGTTGGTTGGTTTTAGTGGGTTGGTTGGTTGGGAAAGGCAGTTGGAAAAGCAGTTGGCAGGCAGTTGGAAATAGAGAGACAGTTGGTGCAGGGGGTTCTTGTGTGAGGGGAGGTAGAAGAGTTAGAGACAGGATAAAAATAAGACTAAGAAGGTAAAGACATCAAAACTGCATTTGAATGCAGTTAAAGTTTATTTGTGTCTGCAATAAACTACACTCTTCTTTGTTAACTTGAGAACCTGACTGAGACTAAGTGATTTACCGGGGAGGACCTGGTTGGTGGCAGCGGATTAGTGGTGGACGGGTCAATAGTCCGTGAGATGACTGGGGGCTCCATCCAAACGCCACAGGGAGAAGTGGGTTCATCAAATCACTGAGTTGGAAGGGACCCCAATAGTCATCTAGTCCAACTTCCTGCAATGGCAATGCCTTGCACAATACAGTGGTACCTCGGGATACATACGCTTCAGGTTACAGACTCTGCTAACCCAGAAATAGTGCTTCAGGTTAAGAACTTTGCTTCAGGATGAGAACAGAAATCGTGCTCCGGCAGCGCGGCAGCAGGAGGAGGCCCCATTAGCTAAAGTGGTGCTTCAGGTTAAGAACAGTTTCAGGTTAAGTACTGACCTCCAGAATGAATTAAGTATTTAACCCGAGGTACCACTGTACAATAATCCACAGTCAGTTATATAGTGGCAAGAATATGAGCAACTGTAAAATAAGGAATTTTGTGTAGAAATCCATATATCTATATCTATCTATGCATCTGGATGTTGTTATCAATAGATATTACATACTGTAGTAATATTTTTCCGGGATATTCATACATTTGACAGGAATATGAACTTTGCAAACATGGCCTGCTTCTATCCAGTCAGCAGCAACATCACTGGGGCTTGCACAGAAGCGGTGCTCACTGGACTGTCCTCACCCAAAGCAAGCTTTGCGTTCAGTAAATTCAAAGCATTTTCCTTGGCGGCTGGTTTCTTACTCTTACATCCATCCAAGCAGGTGACAAAAAATAGGCAATTTGACCTAGCTGTTCAGTGACAACCATCGAGCCTGCTTTTTGAATAATAAACTCTGCTCAACAACAGATACATAGTTTAACTATTATTCACAGGAAATAACTGGAAAGTAATTTCGAATAATGAATATATGAGAGACAGTTTCCCTTGCAACTGCTACGCATATGATCTGAAAATGCGAAATGGGCTGAATACACAAACTGAGTATTCCTGATAAACCAAATGCACAAATCAACATTATCATCAATTGTCTTGATTTCTTCCAGTTCCAACTGCAATACTTGATTTTTACAGCTAAAGCCCAAAGTTCCCTAGTTCGGCCTTTTCAGGATTAATTAAAGAAAATCAAAATTCTCAGATCTTTAAACAGTCCCTTATGAAATTGGGCTGGCCAGCTCCATTTTTAAAAAGAACTGCAGCTTAATTATACCTTGTTTAAGAAATCCTTTCTGCCGCACCCAACACACACATATTAGACAGCAACCCTCATACTCAATCACTTAATTTCAGCATGTACTCATACATACATAGTAAGGATGTATGTTTAGAACTACCTCTTGTATTTTGGACAATACTTGTCAAAACTTGCTTGTTATATACCTAAACATTAAAGACAGCAATTCTTATATACAATAAGTTCATTTCATCTATCTATCTAGATATCTAGAAATACACATCCACAAAATATAAGAATCCATATTTAGAATTACCTCTTGTTCTTTGGACAATGCCTTTTGATAACTTACTTTTAATAAACTTGAACATTAAGGCAAGTAGTATTACTGTTGCCTACAGATTTCTCATTTGACTGAAATATGCTTCTTCTACCCCTTTTTTCTTGAACTACGTCTGACTTTTATCATCAGCATCCACCAAAGGGATTTATTTTTTAAAAAAATGGTATTCTCAACTTTGATGGTTTAATCCCTTACTTTCAGAAATCACTGTGATTTAAAACATTATACTGTTTTTATAGACACACTTTTCCTTAAATGTATTTTTATTAAAGATTTTCTTGATTTACAAAAGTATGTGCAATGTCTCTCTCTCGTATTTTTTCCATGTAACATTTTTACAAATCAGTTTCATTTGTTGAGACATTAGGAAGAAAAGGGGGAAAGGGGTGGAGGGGGGAAGATGGGTGGGGGTGGGGTCGGGTGGCGATGTTTCTATTTTATTTAATATATGTAGGGTTTGGTGTCAGCGTTCCGTGTGCAGGTTCTCTGCTGTTCACTTGTGTTCCTTTGGTGGTGAGAGAGGTTGGGGTTGGCTTAGGGTGTGGTTGTTCATTTGTGGTTGGCTGTGGTGGTTTTATAGACACTCTTATGGGTTGTTACAGTTCCATGGATAATATGGGAAATGCTTCCACCATGAGCATGATCAACACCATTCTCTCACCCACAGAATCTCTATGCTGATTTTTATCAGTACAGAATTTGGCCTGGAGTTGCAAATCTCATTCCTATAGATTTAACATACTTCTGTCTTTGCTTCCTCCCCAACCCCACCATCAGCCTGGCACTGCAAAACACAATGAAGTAGATTTCACTGATTTTAATAGAACTTGCCTCCATAGATGCGGGCTTAGGATCACAACCTTGCAGCACAGTCAATGGGACTTACTTTAATTGTTTAGGACTGGAGTGCCCTCCTTGCAGGTCCAGCAACAAGAGGAGATCCCCTAATGTACAAAATAGCTAAAGCCTTTGATGCCCGTAGACAAGATTTATCCAGTTTATGGTCCTCAACATGTTTTGAATTCTGATTTCATCCGAAGAAAAACTTATCATGCAAACAAACTGTATAATTGCTAGAAAGTTTAGCAACTTTGTGCTGCAGTTCTTGACTGAATAAGTCTTCTGTATATCCATATATGTCTTTTGCTCTTTTGGCCACTCTTATCGGGCCATAATTTCTTAATGCATTAAAAAAAAGGAAAAGGAAATGCCCCATTGTTATAGAGCCAATTTAATAGTTAATATTTAGATTTCCATTTACAAACCACGACTGACGCATTTACTGATTTTGGAAACTGTGTTATTAGCCAACCAGGGAGCTGTGAATGGCACTCTCCAATGACTGCCATTCAAGTGCCAGTCTCAGCCTTTTGCTTCCTTATTGCGGTGGCCGTCTGTTGCACCTTCCTTCCCGCTGCTCAGGCTCAAAAATTAGATTGGACACAATGGTTTTCTAAAGGTAGCCATTGCACTGAACTAACTCTGGTCCTTCTCGAAAATTTGACTCTTTGTGGACTCCCTGCATATCTTGCTCATATTATTCATGCTCATTTTAGACCCATTTAGCCATGTCACAAGTTGTTTGATGTGCTTTGAAACTGATGGCCAAGAAGAGCTTCTGCTGGCAGAGATCACTTTGGCTCCAACGACCTGAATGGAGTTCTGCTATTTTACACTAGAGCTGGCCAAGTAAGCCCAGTCGAGTCCTTGCTATAGTTCTGCTTTGTCATCTCACCAGCCTAGTGTTCCTGGCGCTTTTCATCTGAAAGGGCTTTGCTTTGCCCTGCACTCCCCCCACCTCCCCGTCACTGGCCTGCTTTTATGCCACTACAGTTTGCCGGAACATTTGTTCATACTCAATAGCTAAACATTAGGAATGCTGAGATTCTTTCCTTCTTGTCAGGACAATTGTTTGGACTGTTTGCCACTTAACGCTCTGATGATCTCTCTCTCTCTCTCCTCTCTCTGTGCTGCCTATAATTCCTCCTTTCCCCACTTAGCCCTTCAACTCTTCCTCATTGGCTGAGTCACCCACCAACTCCCTCTTTTGACTTACTCTTTGGTGAGACTATCCTCTGCATTTCCAGCAGTTTTCTTGCCGTTTGGTGTGTGTGTGTGTGTGTTTCCCCCCTTGTCGTTTTTCTGCTTGGTGGTGTCTGGAGCATTGCCGTCGAGAGCTGGTGTCGTACTATGGGTTACCTCGTTATTGACTTCCAGTCCTCCTGGACTTCTATTTTATTTCATCTCAGCATTGGCACCATATGGCAGCTATGGCAACTGAATACATCACTGTATTCACTTTCTGGTTCTGGTCTGAATTGCTGAAGGGCTCCACTCCCTGGCCTGGAAAAAAATGTAGCTGTAGCTTATGTAAGAGGAGCCAAGCCAGAAATATGGAGGGACTAAATTCACACTTGCATTTTATTTCTCAAACACATAATATGGAAACCAAAGAAACAAATCTATTTCCCAAGAATTCTGAGAGCACATACCAAGAAATGGAGGCCTGGTAATGAAATAAAAAATGAAGCCCACTATGCCTGCATGCCTATCTGTTGATCTA